AACACCAATGGTTTCGTGTTTAGAGGTTCTAATGGCACAGGCAATCGAAGCTAAATTGACATCCCAATGTCGATGATTGTCCTTAATATAAGTGGAAATGAGTTGCTTTACCACCCGGTTCACACGTTCCGCAGGATCGGCTTGAGGGTGATAAAAGGGTGTAAAACGGACTTTAACATGATAACGGTCACAAAGGTTCATAAAAAGACGGCTGCGCATTTGCACACCGTTGTCGCAAATAATATGTTGAGGTACTCCATACACAAGAAACACGGACTCTTCAATGCACTTGACCAAAGTTTGGGCATTCGCAGTCCTTACGGGGAAAAGAAGTACAAACTTACTCAAATAATCAGAGACAACCAAAAGGTGAGTGCGTCCCTGAGTAGAACGTGGTAAGGGACCAATGAAGTCTAAACTGATCATTTGCCAAGGCTCGTAAATCCTAGGGTGAGATCCCATAAGACCAGCAGGTCGTAGTTGTTCAGGCTTCTGTTCCGCACAAGTGGAACAGCGTCTAATAAAACGTTTGGTGTCAAGAAGCATTCTGGGCCAATAGTAACGTTGGTGAATACGCCAGAAAGTTTTATACACTCCGAAGTGTCCAGATGTGACATTGTTGTGGCATTCTCGTATAATGGCACGGCGAAAATTATTGGGAACAACGAGTTTCCATTTTTCATAGTCTCGGGTGTCCGAAGCGGTTTGAACGTACTTGTACAGTAGACCATTCCTCGTATTCCATCCAGGGTATTTCTGCGGATGTAGTTCCAGTCGATCAAACATACCACGGTACCAAGGGTCGGTGGAGTTACGAAATTCTTCGGGATTGACAGTTTCGTCCGAAGGGGTAATAGCATCGACGATGGGTACGGTGCGTGATAAAAGATCAGGTACCACATTGTCCTTACCTTTACGATGTACCAGGGTAAACGTGTACGGTTGAAGACGAAGTGCCCAGCGTGCTAAGCGTCCCTGGGGATCTTTAAGAGAATGAAGCCATAGGAGAGAATGGTGGTCGGTTACCACGGTAAATGAAACTCCCTCGAGGTAGTGGCGAAGTTGCTCCACTCCCCAAATGACAGCTAAACACTCGCGTTCAGTGGTGCTATAGTTACGTTCCGCATGGGACAAGGATCGAGACAAATAACAAATCACTCGTTCTCCATCGGGAAAAGTCTGAGTTAAAACGGCGCCTAGACCATAGGCTGAAGCGTCGGTCTGTAAAATGAAAGATTTGGTGAAGTCAGGACAGTGAAGTATGGGTGCAGTAGCTAAAAGTTGTTTTAATTGCACAAAGGCTTCTTCACATTCTGAAGTCCAATCGAATTTAACATCCTTCTTAAGAAGTCGGGTTAAAGGTGATACAATAGTTGAAAATTCCGGTATAAATCTTCTGTACCAACTACAGGTACCTAAGAAACGTCTAACTTCCTGAAGATTAGTAGGAGAGGTAATATTGAGAATAGCTTTTACTTTGTCTGGGTCCGGATGCAATCCATGAGCGTCGACCACATACCCTAGGTATTTCAGCTCAGAACGGCAAAAATGACATTTGTCCTTGTTAAGAATGAACCCTGCAGCACGTAGTTTATCGAAGACGGTTTGCAAAATTCGCAGATGCGAATCGAAGTCCTGGGAAACGATGATGACATCGTCCAAATATACGAGGACATTAGGTTGCAGTTCGGGTCCTAACACGGTGTCGATTATGCGTTGGAAGGTGGCTGGGGCGTTGGTGAGACCGAAGGGCATACGACGAAACTGAAAAAGTCCTCGCCCAGGCACAGTGAAGGCCGTATAAGGTCGGGAAGATTCGGTCACCTCGACTTGCCAGTAGGCCGCCTTGATGTCGAGCGAACTAAGGTAGCGAGCGTCTCGAAGTTGGTCAAGAATGGTAGAAATATAGGGAAGAGGAAATGAGTCTTTCACAGTCAAAGAATTAAGCTTGCGATAATCCACGCAGAAGCGATAGGTATTATCTTTCTTCGGGATTAAACATACAGGTGAAGCCCACGGACTATTAGATGGTTCTATGACGTGGTCTCTCAACATCTCATCGATGCAGGTGTTGATAATCTTTTGTTTAATAGGGTTAACGGGGTAATAGCGTTGTTTAAGGGGTGTCGCACCCTCGACAAGGCGTATCTCATGTTTCCCCACTGTAGTGACACCTAACTGGGTCCCCATGGCTTCGAATTTCTGATCAAGGAGGATAGCTAAGGATTTCTGTTGCTCAGCAGTAAGATGTGGTTGGTCGATAATAGCCAAGCTCCGTACAGTTGTTGGAGTTGTAGCAACAAAATGCCAACAATCGTCAGAAACGTTGGGAATAATTCCCATCCTATCCCAGAAATCAATTCCAAGGATCAAGTCGGTAGTTAAAGAAGGCATAACAAGCAAATTTAATATCACGGTCCTATCTTTTAAAGTTAACGGAGCTATGATGTAACCGATGGACTGTGCATCAACACTATTAGCAACGGTACACGAAGTAAGTTGTTCCACAAATTTTAAATTAAGTTGTTGTAATTTAAAGCAAAGGTCTTGATTAATAAATGAGCGCGAAGCGCCGGAATCTAACAATCCTATTAAAGGAAGGTTTAATATGGTGAGTTTAACATAAGGTCTTAAATCGTTATTGACATGTTGAAGTAAAAAGTCTAATTTGGGTTTGGAAGAAGATTTCAAAAATTTGGTTGTCGGAACCTCCGAAACCTCGCGACAACCTAACGAGCGTTTCGTGGTCCGTTTCCCGAACAGAATGTACATGAACGAATAGTAACCCCAGTGGTTCCACATTTATAGCAGAACAATTGTTTGGGTTCCGGGCAATCCACACGGTTATGTCCTAATCGTTGACAATTGAAACATGGTGACTCACGCGTTTCCATTGAGTGAATAGGAAAACGTGAGGTGGTAGGTCGTTGATTGGGGCAGCTAAAACCTGGCTCCAATAATGGTAAACGAGTCTGAGTACGTAAAGCGTCGTGTCGAGCTAAATCTTGTCTAATAGCGTCAAAACGATGGCATTCAAGCAAAAGTCCGTCCAGAGTGTCCGGTACATTTGGTCCAAGTTTCGTAAGGTAAAAGGGCAAAAGGTTTCGACGAATAATTCGCGTTTGTTCGCGTTCGGTGGGGGGATTTAATAATCTAGCAAAAAGTCCCTGCATTACGGCAAAATAAATATCGACTTTTTCGTTGGGTCCCTGGATTCTTGCCTTAATTTCATCCAGTAAATCCTCTTGATAATGAGGGGGTAAGAAAGCGTCCCTCAATAATTGGGTCAGGTGTTCCCATGACGTCGCTCGGTAAGAGTTGACATTATACCAAGTACTTGCAATTCCATCGAATAAATCGTAGGCGGTTTCGAAGAGTGTTAAGGTATCAACCCCTCGCGCGCGAGCCATACGTTCCACCCTGTCCAAGAAAGAGTTCAAAGTCTCCCCTTTACTATCTCCCGAAAATTTAATTCCCCATTTGTGCACAGGAGTGCTATGAACAGATAATTTAGGGTGCACCTCTGCAGTAGTTCGAGTAGGTGTTGAAGTAGTAATAGGTGCAGCAGATGGTAATAAAATAGTATCGTTGAAGCGGAAGGCTTTGTTATCTAACGATGCCCGAAGTTGACGAAAAACAGTAACTAATTCCGAAATCTTAAGGGTTTGTTCAGGAGTCAGGGTCAGTAATGTTCGAGTCCGGTGTAAGCGTCTGTCGGCATGTGCAAACATAGTTACAATTGAGAGGTAAGAACCACCCCCATAAGCATCTTCAAAAGAGTCGATACGAGTTTGTAAATTATGGGCTAGCTCTGTTAAAGCTACCAAATCGTCATCAAAAGAGAAGGGATATATCGGAGCGACATAGCCAGGTGCTTTCTCCAACTCTAAGAGCTTCCTAAGGATGTTCCTACTTTCAGTGACAGTTGACCCTACTTGACCACCCCTGATTTCGACTTCATACTGCAGTTCAGTGTCTCGTAAGCGATTAATGTCCATCGCCATAATAGTAATTTATAATATTCAAAAACAATGAGAATAATGATTAGGTAATAACACCTAATACAAATACACCATATAATAAAAGTGAACTAAGTCACACAATGAAAACAGAAGTACAGTAGGTTCAGACTTCTTTGGATCGAGTTCAAATTCAAAAGTTGAGTAAAAAATTGTACAAATTAAAAGTGATTAAAATCTTACTTGAAGCGATTGCCAATTGTTTATAATTCTCCACCTTTTTATGGTTACACAAAAACAAATGTTAAAATTAATTCAAAAACAAGGCCACTAAAGTTGAAGAGCCAATTTTTATAATGAAAATTTCAATGACAAACCAGGCCACTTTAGTTGAGGCGCCAATTTTTATAATGCGCAAGCTGCAAAATGCTAGGCGCTACAAAATACCATGTGCTTTAATAATAAAAAAAAAACACACGCCGCTGACCGGCCAGCTAGCTCTGTTGACCAAAGAGTAAACAGCGGAGAGAGCAAGACAAATACACAGGGTAGTGGGTGACAGAATTAATACATTTGGTAATGGCTCATCATATATCATCGATTCCAAATAAATCTTCACTACTTACTTTTGTGGCTTCTTGTAAATTTCCGGGGCGCCACCTAATTCCAATTTAAGTTTCGCTTACACTACCGGAACTAGGAAAGGTAGCTTTAGCTTTAAAATAGGCAACTAATGACCCACAAATAAAAAGTTTTATTCGGTGCACTGCACCATGAAACAAATTCAAAATTGCACAACCTAGATTCCCCACTGGGAATTCATAATCTTATTTAAGGTAAGCAGCAACTAAAAATATGAATCCTCCCAAAGTTAACAAAAGAAGGGGTTTACATAAAATTTCCCATAAAATGTTGAATAAAATACACCAGAATCTCTGGAGTTAACACACAAATATCGTTACAGTGGCAAAATAATGAATTAAATTGAAAATAGATACCTTAATTTATAGCTTGAGTGGGCAATGAAATTATTCGGTTCTGACGAGCTCGTTCGTACCTTACATAAATTGTTATCACTCCATAACGAGAGTAATCTTTTGACTAGCTAAAATATTGTACCCCAAAAATGTCAAGCTTACCAATTAACAGTAATAATCCTGGCTCTATGCAGGCCAATTATCAATTGATCACCACCGAGGTGGGTCAAATGCAAACACACAAATTTACAAAAAGGTTTAACAATGCTACATCACCGTACGATCAATGTTTAGGTCTTCTTTTCCACAGGTCCTGGTATATGGTTGCACGTTGAATGACAAATGCTACTCTAAGTGTTACACAAAGTATCGGAAGCAAGGTAGCGGCTTCAAGATATGTACGACTCGGCCATTAAGTTATTTCAATGGTTTGATGCTAGATCGGACTCACTGCACTCCAGTACTTAGGCGATTTACTTTCCTATGCCCCCTTACCCGCAACACAATGTGGTCTATAGTTTCGTTTCACAGGTAAACAGTCGGATCGTAGTTCTTGACCCCAATACGTGAACTCTAAAATAATAAACTAATGGGTGGAACGTTTTTACACAAGAATAAATGCGAACCTCTACATGGAGAGAGTCAACGGAAAATAAAAGAGCTTCGTGAACGTACGAAAGTGAATGGAAGTTATCCTACGATCGTTGTCAGAATGGTCCCCTAAAATAGAAATAACGGAAGTGTGGATTCGAACACACAGAGAACTTACAATTATGCTTACGTTCCTTTAGAAGAACTCCTTTCGGATTAAATGGTTACCATGCCCAAAAAGAAATGGCAGGTACAATGCTGGTTCACTTGTTTTTTTAAAGATGCTTTCGCCAAATTGTTGAAAACAAATGAACAGGAACTAAATTAGCACTTAAATCAGGATGAACCGCACGACCGTTCTCCTCGGGTTAGCAAGTAAAACACGCTGAATTTTTCCATTTCCGGCCCCAATGAAACAACGATGTTTTGCTCCGACCAATAACGCGGTCAATCGAAGCTTACAATACCATATATGGTTACGGTATCAAATTACATAGGTTATCTAAAGCGGAAATTGGCTTTTAGACCAATAATAGAAATATACAACATTAAAACGGGCAGGTACGGAAATAAACGAATGTGAAGGTTACAAAAGGTGACTACCACAGAATAGAAAAGTTATAAACAGGGTGATTGAAATGGAAATACGAACAAAATGTTGATATAATAATAAAACTGTTAATTTCCCACGTGTCTCTGATATTGGAGGTATGTTAATCTGCGGGTTTGCATGGTGGAGGAGACTGCAAAGAAGGGTAGAAAACGAGATTTATTCAAGCGCACTAGATATTTAGAGGGGATGTTACGCAATCTCCAAAGAAACTCCCACTTAAAAGACTGACAATTTGTACCTGACGCAAGCTCGATGCAGCTTTTTGAAAATGTAAAAAAAAACGCAATTTTGAAATACCCGAGTGCGTCAGATTATTATACAGCCGATTTACTTTGATATCCTAGTAGTGCTGACCCCATAATCTGATGATAATTTAGAGAGATTCTCTTAATCTGACGGTTGGAAAAAACATTTTTTGAAGTGAAGCATTTTTGGAAAAGAGAAAAAGAACAAATGAGACAGACACATAAATAGAGCTCTACAAGCAGCACTTTATTAAGGTACTACAATGAAAGCAGGAGAAAGAGGAGGTGACAGAGGAGGTACGAAGAGAGGGGGTGCTAGGGAAGAGATTAAGCAGCAATTAAACAGACTGAAGAAAGGGATGAAATAAGAAATGACGCTTGGATTTTCCACACACATCGTTTTAAGCAGAAGCTGAGGATATTAATAAAAAAATATGGAAAGGAGGTGTAATACTGCCGATTCGCAAAAGAGATGGTAAAGGCTGTATGGATTAGAAATGGAAATAGAGGAGAATATAAGAGAAAATACAAATGGGATTCAGAAAATGGAGATCGATGGGAAAAAAAGCGAAAATATGATAGCGTTTTTCATGGATTTAAAGACAGTGTGGAAAGGGAAAAGGTGTAGAAAATAATGGGAAAATAGATAATAAATTAAAGAACAGAATCAAGGAATTATATGGAAAGACAAGAATGAGGGTAAGGATAGATGGGAAGGAGTCTGAAGTGTTCTGGACATTAAAAGGATTGAGACAGGGATGTCCACTTAGCCAAACATTTGTACATAGGAGATATAGAGCGAATATTATGACAGCGAAGTGGAGGAATCGTAGTAGGAAGAAGGAAGATATATGGGTCCTGGCATACGCTAAAGGGACAGCAGGAGAAAAACAGATGGAAGCAAATAATGGGAAAGAAATGGAATGGAATTAAATGTCGAAAAATTGAAGATGATAAGTAGGAAAGGAGAGGAAAGGATTGAAAGACAAAGTGGATTAGTGAAAGAATGTTTGTCACCAAGGATCACCACAAAAGGAAACGGGGAGGGGGGGGGGCAAAGAAAAAATATTATAACAGAAATGAATACGGAGGTCGAAAGGAGGTGAGAAATAGGAGAAAGAATGGCAGATGAACTTACAAAAAGGGAGATAGGTATACAAGCACAGCAACAGAGAGTGGAAATCAAGACCTCACAAGGAAACAGTAGGTACAAGGACCTGGCAAGGTAGGAGGAAAAGGAGGAAAAATATCATGATAATAGCAAGGTTTAAATGCGGAAACGAAGAGAAACAAAAGAAGTGAAGAAAAGCAGAAGAAAGGAAATGCAGCATTTCTGGAGAGAAAGAGGACATACCACATGCTATGGGCATGTAAAGAAGTGGAAAAAGCAAGGAAAGGAAAAGCAGGAGTGAAGTACCGGAAGAGAGAGGAAAAGGAGATGAATGGATGAGGATGATTTTAGAAAACAAGAGAAAACCACATAAATATTAGTTTTTTTGTAGTTGATTTATTGTAAATTGTACGATATTTCAGGAACGTCCATGAAGTTACAATCAAATACGTGACTAAAACTTGTGCGACCACCCTTAGGTTGCACTTGCCATCCCTAGTCACTATTTCCTAAAAAAGACGACTGCGTTTCGGTTTGTATAAGATTTTTTTTCAAAACTTGTAATAATCCTTTAAGATATAACATCCAAATTGCATTGAATACTATAAGAGGTCAACAAAAATTTTCTTGTAGGAACTTGAACAATTTAGTGTTTAGTTATAAAATGGCGCATACAGTAAATTAATATGACTATCAAAAGCGTATTTTTTGTTGTTAAATATTTGCGTTGACTTAGGAAGCTGCTCTGTCAAGAATTTAGCAACTGGTTTCTTCTTATGGACCCTAAACACATTCAATCAAAGAAGCAAAAATATTAGAACTGCTAAAAAAGTTACAATTGACATTTGGGAGGAAAATGTTCTATTTCCCATTATGTATAGTCGTTTCAAAAAGATAACAATAGAAATGGACAGGGTGGTTCAAATTCAAAGTTGCCCCAGTTTGTGAATAAAATAACACATTTGAAGTTTAAAAAAATCTTTGAAAATAACTGGCATTTCACTGAAAATGTCAAATTTGGATTTCATTTTCCCTAGCTGGAAATGGGTGGTTCTCACTCACACTTTCTATAGAAAGTTTTCTTCGGAGAATCTGAATCTGTTATTAGAATTTCTAGAACACGCTAGATGCAGAAGCTACCTACAGGTTACTATTTTCTTATTTTTTATGGACGCCATATTGGATTTTTATGGAATAAAACAGTGGACAAAAAAGTGTGACGCGTTATTGTCTTCTTTTTTTTGTCCTCTATCTCATTCCGTTAAAATCCAATAAGACGTCCATAAGAAATAAGAAAATAGTAGCATTATTATATAATTTTGATGAAATTTCTCGAAAAATTCCAGTGCTCACTGTATACGGGTAATATTTACAAAGTTTGATAACAATAAGGTGAAAACCTAGGTACACTGAAGTGAAACAAAGACGCTTTTGGAAATTATTTACACATGCATACATGGAGTACATCCATCCATATTTTGGGAAATGCAATGTTTTACTACTTTTCCAAGCATAATTGAGTTATAAAAGAACAAAGGATTTTGCGGGTTTTGCAAAATTGTACTTTTCCGATAAATTTTTGACTGTTGGTAAAATTGGCATGGAACATTTTGTTGTGCGTATAACAGCTGCTACAAAAATCAATAATATTCCGAACTGAAAATCGGTTTCACGAATGGCCGGAGAAACGTATGGCCAAAAGTGTTCACAGTACCCCCGCTTGAAACACGTGATACAAATCTTAAAAGATTGACTCAAGTATTTCAGTTAAATATTCCAGCATGAACTACCCAATTACCGTCCAGATAAAAATCTTTTGTATTAGAGGAGTCATGAGAGGATAGATTCTGGATGTGGATGTTTCATCTTACAGGAGTTATTTTCAGTAAAAAGGGAAAATGCGATAAACAACACCACAAAAAGGACATTGATTTTAAGGTGCTACTTGATACTAAAAGCCATTTTTAGCACCTATTTGAAAGAAATTAAGCTTACATACATTGCCAATTTAAGAATTTTTTTTTTCTAAAAGTATTATAAATCTAAATTTTTAGCGCATTTTTAAAATGAAAGTACGTATAGCTATTGTTGACACTTCGTCAGCCATTTTTAAGTTTTCCTAATTCTTAGTGGAGAGTGAACCTGAAATTTCGGAATGACGAAAATTGCAGTTTCCATTTTATCCGGCTACAAAGGCTAAAAACAACTCAAACGTTTACATTTTCTTGCTTACTGGTATATATGGTCTTTTCGTAAGAGAATTATTGCAATAAATGGATCCTTCACAAGATATCTTGGACATGATTATAAAGGAACACTATATAGAAATGAGCCTTGTCATTCACGCATGATCTTGAGATATTCCTTGTTTTATGTTATATAGCTTGTGGCTTGACAGAACTTCCGTAATATTGTGGGACTTCCGAAACCGGAATTCAAAGTCCATCATGCTGCCTCTGACGCTTCTTCCTCCCACAATAGCAGAAGCAAGTACAAATAATGTGCTCTTAGCGAAAATGTATGTACATATTACTTTCAACAACAATAATTGATGTTTGCAAACAATGCGTTAAATTGAACTACTTAAGACAAATGCATTACGCTGTCTGCATTCATTGAACTAATAAATCATACATCTGCTTTAAACAGTCTATCCCTAATAAATAACAGTAGCTTTCCAACTTGAGATAAATGAAATGGCTTTAAGCCAAAGCCGCGTAAAACACGTACAAGTTGCAAAACTTCCTTCCCTATACGCTATGACGTATTAGCTTGTGCAATAAAACTTGACCTTAATTAAATTGGGATCTCTAAAAAATAATTAGTTCGACACGCTTCTACTTACAATCGTTTTAATTGCAGATTCCCGGAGAGAGCTTTCGGATGAACGGAATCCAGTTTATTGTCGGTGAGGATTCTGTAACAAAATGCCTTCGTTAATTTCTATGGGCGCGTGCAAATCAAATTCGTTGTAACCTGTTTATTTTTTGGGCGATTAAAGTGATTTATGTAGCACGTGCCCGCTAAATCATAAGGTGGGTGGGTGGTTTACAAAAAAATGGTCGAACGCGATGAAAAGAAAGCAGGCGGAAGTACATCTAAAAATGACGTACAGAATTCGAATTAATGTGAATGGTAAAGTAGAATGTTGAAATGCTTCGCCCATTAGGCTAATAACAACCAAATAGCAGTTATTTGTATAATACTAAAGGATAGAGTAAACATCTTGTTATTGTCATCAGCAGCATATTGGAGTGATCCCAATTTATTTTATTTCCGCTTTGCTTTTTTTGCCATAAATATGTAATTTGCGCTTTGATCTGATCTGATTAAATATTAGCGTTGAATTGGATTTGGTCAGGCGTCAGTAATTTCCATAAACATGCCATTTCAGTCCCGAGCAATTAAAGTGTCGTGCAGTGTCACATACACGAAAACGTGATTTTCCATTATGTCCTGTTTACAAATTATAATTTCAATAATTGTGATGGAAATTTAAAACGCAATATGTGTATATCACTGGTTCAATACATTTTAACAGAACGCCGGCTATAACCAATGTGTAACATTTTTTTTGCTGGACATAAGTACATTACTAAAAATAAAAGCCTAACTACATTTTTAATAGTGCAGAAAATCGTAGATATGGAAAAACGTGAGAAAACGTTCGTGAAGTTGATTGTAAATTACACTTAACTTACACAATGTTGTTTATGCTATACCTACTTCACGCATTTCCCTTGATATTTCATGGAGCTGTTAGTTCTGCGATATTCGATTGAGTTTTATTAGTTCGTGTAAGTTTATACAAAACCGTCGTTTTTGCAATTGGGCCGAGAAAGTGGAAATACTGCAATATCCAATATTTAAGATCATTTTGTGAACATTTTAACTGTTAAAAATGCAAAAGGAGCAGGTTAAAAAAATTATAGATCAGAAGTATGGGAGAGGTTTAGGTTTTTTTTAAAATTTTGCTGTTTACTTTTAAAGCGACCGATTGTGCGTGGACTTTCCGACAAAGATCGTGGCAATTTTGAAGCTACTTTTCCACTAAATCACAACAGAAGGTTTCAGTAAGTAAGATATAGTGAAATTTTCTTGTTATGGGGCTAGTCGCCGGTATCTTTCTGGATTTTCACAAAAGAATTTTACAAGGAAAACTCCATTTCAGTAGTTCGCGATCTTTTATTATTCTACAATGCATAGGAAACCGTAAGACCGTGCAAAATACAGCCTGCATGAAAGGTGTAGATGCTCTCTCGAGAAAATTTTGACACCGTGACTGTCATGTGGGAAACCTTTATAGAAGCTGATGATATCGTACAAAAATCGAAATATAGGTCTACAAAATGAAGCCAAATAACTCGACGGATACAGAAATAGCATCAAAAGAGGAAAGTTCACAAACAATTTGTAATTTTTCTTGAAGAATTTATGGCATTGAATGCAGCTCTAAAATCTTAATTAACTAATCCGACCATAAATTAAAAAAAAAACCACATCAAAATGAAACGGTAACTTATTGCCCATTTTCCCCACATGAACAATAAACATGTCCGACATAAAGTTATTTTACGATTATTCCTACCTGTGAGTCGTATATTTAGAAATAATGCGCTTTCCATTATTTCAAAGTCTGAAGTTGCGAATAAATATCTCGGCGAGTATTACTTTTAACATATCATAAATAGGAACCGACAGTTACTAAAGATACGTTCCTTTATTTCGCTTTGCATGGAACACTACAGCCGTTATCGGTTATTTATTTACAGAACAAAGTTCTTTGTCAATATTTATTAAGCGTGTCTAGATGGTTATATTGGAACGAATGGTGGATTATACGGGAATAGAATAGGACTGTTGGCGATATTTGTCTAATAAAGTGTCATCCGATAAATAAGCGGCTTCTGTCCGTTTCGACGGTATTCTTTAATTTATGTTTAACACGCAATTTGGGATTTGTGTATTAGCGGATTAATCTATCGGCATTGCATTACGAATACTAATTTAAACGTCCCTTACATATTTATGCGTACTTTCGTATCAAATGCAGCAGTTAACTATGGAGGAGTTGCGTGCTAAAATTGCATTACAAATCTCGCCATAGTTAACGTTTTTTTCACAAATCTAGTTGTATCGAAAGTCCAGTATTTCCTTCCCAATTGTTTCTCTTGTATAATTCAGTGTTAAAAGAATATAATTCGGAATCATGTGTATTGCACGTGCATGCTCATATATAACGAGCCACGGAAAAGAAAGGAAACGTGCCGAGATGAACAATTTATTGAGCGAATTCGTCTCTCTTGATACTTAAAAGGGTGAAAAAGCTACAAATTTTCTATGCGTGTACCTATTATAGCGCTAACAAAACGAAAGTAAAAGGCTCTTCCGCACCCTTCACGCATCAATTTTCATGATCACATGCAACTTTAATCCAGATCGTGGATGCCTTCGCAAACTTCTTAAAGATTATTTTGTGGAGTATAAGCCGATAAAGAACCTTCATTTAAAATTAATTACGATAAAAGTCAAAGAACGCCTAAATTGTGATAGTCACAATTTGGCGGCATCCAAAACCATTTAGCTGTGCTAACATTGACCAAATTAAATTTACTTTTAATGAATTTTCCATTAACAATGGAACAATAAAGTAAAAATTTTTGCGTTTGATAAATTACACTCTCCTTCGCTTGTCAAGAAGGATTAATTTAAAAGTTTAAAGACACTTCATGGTAGGAGAATGATAATAATATTTATCAACACATCATCAAATTTAAAGTAGGTGATCGATTATAACTTATAAAGACATCGTTATCCTGTCAAATTCAGCTACAAAATAAACTTATTACTTAAATTCCGTCTACTGTCGTTCAAAGGGTTCTGGTAGGGCTTTGCTCTAATAATGTAGCGCAAAAACAACAGAAATTTTAGCTGTAAGGCTAAAGGAATGCCTCCAATATATTCGGAAGTCACTCATAAGCATAAAAAAATCTAAAATAGGTACGTAAATGCCATGGTCTTTTTTTAAATTTTAAACTAATTAATTAAGTTAATTAAGGTGAAGTGAAAAGTAAAGCCACTACTACTAACTGCCTAATTAGTAATCGAAAGGCGATATGATTCAATATGCATAATAATACGATATGGATGCGGCAATAGAAGAATGGATGCATAAGAAGTTGACGCTTGAAATTTTGCTGATGAATTTAAATAAAAATTTTTGGAAATTTGTTTTGTCAGTTTATTCTGATGGAAGTGATGTTCCCTTAAATACGGGAGACACCGTAAGGAGATGACGGCGGTTGTTAGTTCGCAACGGTAAACGTACATTTTTGTATGCTAAGTAGAGCAGTTTGATCTTAGTTGTTTTGTGTAAGACGCAGTTCGTTAGTTTCGAAATAAAGTGTGAAGCCGTCTTAATAAAAGATCTAAGGTATCGTCCAGTGAAGTTGTAAAGAGTTCGTGGAAAGTCTTTAATAACTGTTTGTCTGTATTCAGAAAACGTTAGTATGAGTGGGTTACAACCAAGCAGTTGTCTGCTGAGTGAAAGTTTCCACCGTCCGAGTAGCAGCCGAAAATCTTTTTCATCTTGTTTATCAAGCTAGTTCTCAGTAATTGGGTCTAGTTTATTAATAGTCGAGTTAACGAAGAATTTAACTTTTTTAGCACTATTCACAATCAGAAACGTTACTATACTACGGGAAAAATTAGTTTTAACATTTTTTTCACGATATTTACGATACTGTCAATTGTTTTTATTAAAAATTTAGTATCAACAATCTCTCCCGCAGTTGCTGTTAATAATTATTTATATTGTTTAAACAATAATAGCAATATCCAGCACACAACGTACCTAAAGGCCGTAGCGCATTTACTCGCGAAAGGGCGCGGCGCGGCGAAGCCCCTTTTTCGCTCACTTGAGGTACTGTTGATACTGTTTAATCTTTGAATGGATTGTAATCTTTCACGTTAAGTAGGTTTCTAATTTCTAAGCATGAAGTATAAAAAATAATCAATCCACTTACCCCAAAATGCGTTGGAACGTTGGAATTTCTTTTTTGAAGGTGGTATAAGAACGGATAAAACAATTAGGATAAACGTGAGGAATTGTTGTTGATTGATTATTGTCGAGACCAAGGGTGAAGTTTAATGAATTATTGCACAAATCACGATTCGAGACAAATTATGTATTGTAACCCTGATTGTAACTATTAAATGAATTTTCGTGAAATATGTATCTACGTCGCGTTCAAACAATACTTTTCTATCGAATGTCCAATGTCACTCCTTATGCCATGACTTCGTAATCTGATTAGAATTTAATAACCTTTATACAAATGGAAAAAATGCGACAGATACTAAACGTTCAATAAAAGCAATTGACATATTCATAACTATCGCGAAAACATTTAAAAACATTTTTTTCCGTAGGTAAATGTTGATATTATAGTTTAAACAATATAACAAATTATTTCCTGACAATGGGATGATTCTGATTTTGAATGAGTATTAAATTCTGATTTCTTGATTACGATAGGAGGGTGGACGAACACGTGCCTAGGCCACAAATTCGGGCCCTTTGTACTACATCCCTGACTAGAGTCGTCCGACCCCTCAACATCACTGTTTGTGAAGGGGAACATCCGTTACCTTTAGGTTGCGTTAGCTCCTTTAGTTAATTCAAATTAGTATAAGATCTGACATAGTAGCTTTTGGAGTGACTTGCCAGTTCGTTTGTAGTCAGAGATACTCGATGCCAGACTGAGATCAGTCACAGTCTGACTTCGGGTAGTTATGAACGTGGATTCGCTTCCCTGATTGAGAAGTAAAGTATTCAAAAGCACATTATCACATTAAAAAAAATATTTATCAAAATCGAGCTCTTGCTAAGAATTTAGAAGTTTTGATCGATTTTTA